CCCCCCGCCCCAGTCCTGTCCAAGCCAGGCTCCCCACCCAGTTCGACCCCCTCAACCCCGTCCCTCGGCCCGAGCGCGAGCCCGGCTCCAAGAGACCCACGCTTCATCCGAGACGCTACCCCTCCTTTCGGACCTGACGGGAACCGGCTGACGCCCGAGTGGAGCAGGTTCTCAATTGTGTGGACAGGTGGCCCAGACCCAGGGTTCACCGAGCCCCGCTGGCTGCGACTGTGGACGGCAGGATTGTCTAGCTGCGGATTAGCACAACTAGACAAAATGGTCCTTTATTGCCAGATCTTTAAAAATGTGTCCTGACAGCCTTGATGGTTAAGTGGCTGGTGACTCGTACAGCTGGGCGAGTGCAGGGCGCCTGAGAGGAGAGACAACAAATCCAAGCAGAGTGCTGCCCCGGGCTGGCTGCCCACAGGGACCAGGGCGAGGACCTGCCTGCCTGCGCAGTGGAGGACGTCTCTGGGGGGGCCAAGTATCAAAGCGTGCTCTGCTTTGTCAAAATAGAGTTAACTGTTCTGGAAGGAAGGAGACTCTGTGAAGAGGCAGTGTGGTCCTAAAGCCAGCCCAGGGGCAAGGGCACGGTCGGCAGAGTCCCAGTGCCACTCTGAAGTGCTCAGCTGGCTCCTGCCTCAGGGCCCTGGCGCTGCTGTTCCCTGCCTGGAATGTGCTCCCACCAGAGGCCCACGGGGCTCCCTCCTTTCTTCGTTGGGGCCTGTCTGCGCATGTCACCTCGTCGGGGGTGAAAGAGCTACCCTACCATCGTCTCTGCCCCCTTATCCTGCTCAGTTTCCTACACGGAAGAAACCACCACCTGACATTATGTGTTTATCATCTGGCCACTGGAGCAATCAGTCCCAGGAGGAAGGGACCTCAATTACCCCCGGTGCCTAGAACAGAGCTCTGCACAGCACGGGGGCTCAGCAAGCCTGAAGTGAACGAGTGCCTCTCCCTGGAGTCCTGGGAGCTGGCAGGCCAAGGGGTCTGCCCCACCAGGCACTGAGGAAGGGCTGGCTGAGGTCCCAAGGGAAGGCGATCCAGGTCACCGGCACACCTGGCTCATTGCTCAAGACTGAGATGAGTCCAGGCCAGGCTGGGGGTGGGGGCCTGTTTGGGGTGCCCTCCTAAGAGGAGCTATGCTGGGGGTGGTGGCTCGCACACCCCAAAGCCAGAATTGGCTACAAGGGCTTCTGTCCAAGTTCTGAGGCAGAGGCAAAGGGGCAATGGGTGCAGGGCAGTACTCTGGGCACAGCTCGGTGGGGACGGAAAGAGGGATGGGGGTGGGGAAGGGGACAAGGGTGTTCTTCCTGTTTGCTGAGACTGGGCGGGTTCTGCTGGAAGGCTCCCGTGTGTTCTCAGCCAGCAGCGTGAGCAAGGTCACAGATACCACTTTCCTGGAGAGAGGCCCCCAGAAATGGAGGTCAAACAAGGCCTTTCTGGGGACACAAGTGGCCGTGGCATCCCAGGGTGGGGTCGGGGTACCCCAGGCCCGGCTTCAGAGCCAGCAGGTCCCACGGGCACCTCGTCAGACCTCAGCCTCGACAGGCAGGCGTGGGACACAGGGGCCTCCCTGAGGGCACAGGGAGGAGGGATGGCACCACCAGACCAACGACGGGCAGGACCTCAGGGCTGAGCCTTAGCTCCCCGCTGGGCCCAAGCTGTGGCCAGCACAGTGGGACCTGGGCCCCAGGGCCCGGTATAGCTGTGGGGCAGGAGAGGCCTGGGATGGGGCCTGTACTGCAGGTGGGAGACTTGGGGGGAGGGGGTGCTGAGGAAGGGGCCGGGCTGCATTTCAGGGGGAGATGACTCTGGCCGGGACTTCCTGAGGGAGAAAGGGCGGCGGGGAGCCCCTGCAGCGGCCCCAGCAAAAGGGGAAGGTGTTCCCAGCTGGCCGGGTGCAGGGGCTAGTGGGGGTCGTCCAACAGGGCCCAAAGGGTGTGCATCCCGGCCCTCCCGCCATGACCCCGGCTGCACCCTGCACCCCCATCGCCTCCCAGGGAAATCAGGGCTCTGGAGGGAATGGCCACACGCATTAAATCACTGTGGTGTTTATTGGCTGTGACTCCATCCAGAGAGAACACACGCAGCTGCCCCGACATGCAGGAGGAAGCACAGGCGCCGGGACGGACGGACAGAGGACAACCACGGTCTACACTAAGCTCGGCTGCTCGGGCGCCCCACGCGCTGGGGACAGGATGCGGGGTTTCTACGAGACGACGCCCTGTCTGCTCAGAGCTGGCTTTTTAAAGTGTGAAAACAGGCGTTTAAAAAAGACGAGGAACCGGGGGGTGTCGGGGCGCAGCGC